CAGTTTAGGGTATCAATGACTTTTATCATAGAGAGTTTGGAGAAATTCTGAGACTATGCGTGCCACAGCTCCTATATAAAATTTCAAATCATTACAGAGAATGGCTCTTAATTGTGACGTAATATTACCTGGTAGTCAGGTATATGACGTCCCTGATAGACTCAACCTGAATAATATAGCCAATTTTAATCTAAATTAATATTAAGTTTGGAGCGAAAACGAATTCTATTTTGAAAATAAAGAAGTGATTTTTTTGTTTTAGCGTATCCATTTTAAATATTTCACTAGGATTCCGATAGTAAGATGTTTAGCAGGTTTACTGATGCCACGGGAGATAACTCTGGCATCGCAAAATTTCATGAAAACGTCTAATATATTTTGACAGAAAACTACTTACATAAGTGTCTTGCTTACGGATTTTTTTTTGAAACAGAAAGGTGAATTATTTCTAGATCTAGTTTAGCGTGAATTATAGTCCTTTTAGAAATGTGTTGGAAATTACAGTTCTTTATTTCTGACCTGAATTCAATGGTTTATATAGGGAAATTCAAGAACACATTGTTTTCAATAAGATATCAAATATTTGTCACATTCGATGTGCCGCTATTAATACAATACTGTCTGGTTTTTCGGTGGACTGCCTCTTAAATAGATATACCCTCAATATTTTTATGCTTGTCTGCCATTTTTAATTTTTTTAATATATAAATCACGTGAATCATATCATCGATGTTGGAAAATAAGGACTAAAATCATATGAAAGAAGGATTAAAATAATACAATGTATAAAAACACATTTATGGATAATTTCATCGAAGGCTAGAAAACAGTCTTATAGATAATCAACCTATCAATGTTTCTTTACAAATATCAGAAAGTTCAAGCTAAAATGATCTGCTGCATTTCCCCCACAAAAGTTCTCAATCAAAGCAGTGTATATCCTATCCAATATTTCGCCAAAAAAAAAAAAAAACTTCTTGCGTATGCAAATTATGAAATACTGTGAAATCAGAAATTATCTTGGGGGTTAAATTTTCGTTGTCTTCGAGTTATGAAGAGACCAGCAAATTCATGTCCACCGAAAAATGTAAAATATTAAATGCATAATTTTTATCATAGTATTCGATGCATTTTATATTATAGGATTTATTATGTACAGTTGTACAACTCTTATATTAGTTATTAAAAATGATATATAAGGAAAATATGATGGCACAAAACACTACATAAATATATATAAAGCAAATGTCCCTGAAGGATGTTAATAATGATGCTATGTCAAAAGAGGGTTGTTTGAAAATATGGAAATGCAATCACGTGTGTGTCATTCGTAGAATGGTTACAAAAGTATAAAGTTCCGTAAACAGGATGAAAGGACCAAATGGCAAGCTTGGTATTACAAGCCATGTTGTATGAACGAAATTTATTCCACTTATTCCCAAATATAAAATGAGGAAGTCTTTTAGATACGAGAGTTCTAAATGTGAGTTGAAAGTTATGAGGATATAAAACACGAGTTCGAGCATTCACTTCCGGAATGACGGTATTTAAAGCTTGTAAAGAGAACTTATACCATCATTTGAATGCGGCACTACGGCAAACCGTTAACTTAGTCTACATTTTTTCCCCTGAGAAATATGAGCCATATGACATTTTCGTAGATGAAAGAAACACTAAAAGTGAGTATGATTAGAATTTTCTTCATAATATTTCAACTATCATCAAAGTTTAAAGGCAAAGTTATCATTGTACGAGTTACATTTTTATGCAAATGAAAAGAAATATTCTCTGGGTTTGAAAAAAATTATCAAGATCTACTTTTTTAAAGAAAATCTTTTGCTTTAAAAATACTTCAGTCTGCGTCATTTTTGATTAGATTTATTTGATGGAAGGATCTAAGTTTCAGAAACAAAAACAGCAAATGAAGTAGGAGAAAATAATTGAGTTGCAAAAAAATGTATACCTGTTGAAACGGTTTTGTTTTTTGTGTTAATTCAAAATAAATAAGAGTGTTTTAACAAATCTGTATTCTACTCAAGAAAAAGAACGGAACGAATTAAACAAAAAACAACAACAACAACAAGAACAAAATCAAATAAATGAAAATATTCTTTCAAAATCGAAATACATGTATCTATAAGCCAAGTTTAAGTTTGTAATGATTAAAAACTTGCATAGTTTTTCTTGATTTTTAACAAAACAAATTTAGAAATTATCCCCAAATATTAAATAAAAATTATCATCAACAACAACAAAATTGACAAAGTTGTATGAAAAAAAAAATTAGCCTGATGAATTTTTCCTCGAAAAGTATAATTATGTATACATATCGTATGGTTATATTTACTTGCATTATATTTATAGTAGGTAAAAAATAAATGTTACTTTTTAAAAATATTTCTATTTAATACTGAAGTTGAAATTACATGTTACATGTATGTTAGCCAACAGAGAGAATTGAATGACATTCGCTTAAAAAATATATATCCTACTCATTTGCATATCTCCATTAAAGATAAAAATAAAATAACCAGGACGGAAAAAAAACAGCCATCCTTTACGTTATCTTTATAGAGTGGTTTTATCGGGAGGTTTCTTAAAATTTACTATATATATATTTTCAGTGTTAACAAGAAAGACGGTGACCTAGAAGTATTAGATAATTTTTTTTATCTGTTAAATTTTAACCTAGCATCAACGGGGTTCTCAGTAATGCATCATACTCTTTACTTCTTTAATAGTATTCTGCATTTTTTTAATAAAACCTTTTTATGTCAATAAATATACTATAAATAAACTATACTGTAATTGCAACTGTTATGTTCTCATCTCTTTTAATTATTAAAAATTATATTAACAAAAAGATTCTTAATTTTTTTTAAATGTATGTAATAATATCGGTTCTAAATTGGCATTTTGTTTTGAAATATCAAAAAATGCTATGTAAATAATTATAACTTTTCAAAGAAAGCATCACAAATTATCTTATATTTCGTTAACAATTATTTTCAGCTGATGTTTTGTCACATGGAGATGATGAGACATACAGAAGAAAGATGTCAAAGATCCATTAATAGGTGTTCTCTGTACTAATCTATTAACTTTACAAAGTTTCTATTTGATACCTAATATAGAGCAATCTCAATACTTACTATAAATCTACTGTCATTCTAATTAAAGAAAAAACTTAATATACTTCAAATAATTTTAAAATGTATGGTTTTTAAAACCTTAATAAATGATCTTATAATTGCCATATGTAACTTTTCATTAACACTGACTGATAGACTATTACAATTAATGTTATACTACTCGCAGCCAAAGCTATATAGCTTACTAATCTTGCTTTTGCAAAATAAAAATTCAGCTAATTAAAGATTGAAATATTATAATAATGAAATAATAAAAGAACAAAGTTTTGGTATTATTTAAAGTGTTATTTTTTGAATTGTATTAATTCATGGTTTGCTTTTCAGGACACCTTCATAATTATTCATATTGCTTTTGAGTCATTTTTTCAACCTCTTTTGGAATCAATTTTTATTTAGAACCACTAGGACGATCTGATCATTTACCATATAATATTTCCATTTCTGTTCTCTCTGTGATAATTTTTGAAAGTTAAGTGAGTAAATTTTTTAATAATTTTTCCTGAACTTAAATTTCGCTAAGCGAAAGGTCAAGAGCTAAGAAGGCCTAATATACATGTAGATCTCATGAGTCTGTCTTTATATCTGACGTCAGTGGGTGGGGACAATTGTAATTGACATGGGTGGCCACATGTAATTTAAATCTATTAGACAACATTTTTAAAATCTAAATTTACAATTTTATTTCACAATTGAATGGAAATGTAAGGGATCACTGTCTAGTTTGTTGGGTATGCCAGGGACATCAACAATAGTTGGAAAATTTATGCATAACGGGGTTTTGCCCATTTTCGTCCGTCATGAAAATTATATCCCAACTATCGCTGATGCCCTGACATTCCCACAAATTATACAGTGATTCCTTAATACATAAACCCTCCTTAAAAAGATATCTTCTCATAAACCCATACCATTTGACAGCTTTGCTATAGGCAGGGCAATACATTTATTTTTTGTCATCCTCTCCTGATATTCTCTTTGTTGCTCCTTTACATTTTTCATGTGATAAAAGTAAAAAAGAAGTCTTTTAAGTGCCCATCTACGAGTATATACAAAAAACCATGGTTATCTAAAGCATGGAAGCATTTATCATACATCTGAAATGATAAATATTTTACATCCCATTTCTATTCCAAAAGAGGTGTTAAAATGGTTAAAATGTATATTTGATTGAAGTCCCAAGTTTGTATCTAGTTAAAAAAATAAAATATTAGAACTTTTGTTCTGTGTTTTTTGTCTTAGGCATGTTTTAAATAGGAGCTAAAACAACGCTGTGCGTGTTAGGTGTCCATAAACGGTATTTCGGTTGTTCTTGCCATGGGAAAGGAAAAGAATCGCGGCTAAGGTTAGGAATGTGACGCCTACAAAACGTGTAAAGTTAGGAAATTAATTTATAGGCGTGAATACAAGTATTTGATACTTTATGTGTACTTAAGGAAGCGTGAAAACCTTTGGCACAAATATAGGTCAAGGATTCGTAAAGTTACCCTGAGATATCTCTATCCGCAATATTTCGGAATTGTAATTAATTTCAAATTAGATATTCATAATGTATTTGAAAATAAACGCACAAAGTATGATCACGTATGAATTAAGTACACATTAAGTATAAACAAAACTACATAACACTAGGGCTAGAAGGTTAGGCTGTGTATGCAATGTATGAAGATTTAATTCGTCTTAAGTCGCATAAACTTTAAGGTCAAGATTGTGTTTTGATGACTGCACCGTCTCTTTCAATAGACATTAAAACATGTTGATAGATCAAAAAACATTCTTGAAATCTGTTTAACACTCCCTCTATTACCCCCTCAAAACAAAAACAAAAAAGAAAAGGGAATAAAAGTCTTTCAAAATGAATGATTTTTTTCTTGCCTTCAGTTTGGCTCTTTGAATAGTTCATCATAAGAACAAAGAGAGAAAGTAATATTTCAAAACAAAAAGAGAAATGTGTATGTCATCTTAACTAAATCTTGACCTTTGAAGATTTTAAGTAAATTTAAAAGCATTTTTAAAATTTTTACTTTTCAAGTTTAACTATAATTGATAAAGATTTAACAATTTACCTTGCTTTTTGAGCTGATTTGATACCATTTATTAATTCTTATTTCTTTTTTTTTCTTTTTCAGACCAACCAGAAATCGAAAATGCGGCCCAGAAGGACAGCATGTCGGTGATAACCATAGCCTATATAATCACTGTCCCGGGAATAATCATCATCTGTATTGGCGTCAACGTTGTTACTTATAAATGGTATATAACATACATATCTTACTGTTAATTATAATCCAGAAAAATAAATTTCATCTTGGATTTGATCTAATTCTTTTCTAACCAAGATATGGAAATTTTTTTTTTCAAATTGCAGTTTGTATGTCTTTGTCATTTAGATGCTTGCTTTGAAAAAAATATTGAGATAAATTGCTTTTAATATATTTTAAGTGGCGTGAAGAAAGGTCGGAGAATAGAGCGCAAACATAAATTACAGGAATTCCAAGAAGAAACGCAAACGGTTCATTATCAACACTATCAAACTGATACTGAAAATCCGGAAGCTATTCCCTTAGCACAACAGGGTCCATCCGCTGGGCAAGTTTCCGTCGACCCATCCCACGACTATGCTGCGTACGATGAAATAAAAGATCAGCGACAACGCATGCAAGAGTCGCAAAGGCGGAAAGAGGGAGGCTATTTGACACCGGTTTCCCAAGGTCAAAGTCGGGCACTACCCCCTGTGAGAACTAATGGCGATGGCTACGTATCTCCAAAGACAACAGCTAAAAAATCACAAGAGGAGGGCGGGAAAACTAGTAAAGGTGACTCCCCATCGCCTCCTGGTGACGGGGGATACATCTCACCTTTACAACAGGAAAAAGATGCTTCCGAAAGAGCTGGTTCAGGCAAAAGCGATTCCAGCTCGGAAAAATCTGATAAATCGGACAAATCTAGAAAATATCAGAACGATCCGCAAGGCAAATCCTCGCCCAAAACGAAGGCTCTTTACGAGTCGTTAAAAGATACCGGGGTCACTCAGGAGCACGATTACATTGAACTACAGACTTAATTATTTTTTGTAAAATAAATTTTACTTTTTATTTTGTTTTCATTGTTTTTAATGCTAAATGAATACTAATAATTTCTTTTCAAAGAATGAAGAAGGTGTCTTCTTGTTAAACTCATTCCTGTCATAAAATGTTAATTTTAATGACTCATTCATAATTTAACTATTAAAGTATTATTTGATGATGTTCCAGGTTAATGTGTGTATAAAGGTTTTGTTTTTCTTTCCCTGTTTTGCTATATCATATATAATGCATGATTGATAGATATGCCATTTCATACTCAGCTTTTTCTATTTAATTTGATATAATGCTATAAGCATGTATAAGTATTTGCAATGTAAAGCGCTTTTAAATTAGATATGCATTGGGGGCAAAAACTTTTCAGGCCCAAAATGAGGATACAATGCTGCTTATTTAAAAAAAAAAGCTCGATCACTGTTAAATAAGCCTTTGATTTTGTTATTTAGTGCTTTTTTGCTTTATTTAGTGCTTTTTTGCTTTATAATTTTATTTTTTTTTGTTCGATTCATTTTGTCTGACTGTCTTAATTATTATCAATGCTTTGAATGTATTATTTTTTCATTTTGTCTTCATCAATAAACAATTTTTATAGAAATATCTTGTCACCGTACTTGGTATGAAGTGAGTATAATTTAATAATTTTTTAAAATGGAAAACTATCTAAAAGAATCTAAATGAACACTGATTTTAACTCTCAACAAGGTGAAAGACTGATTAAAGAACTTTAGTTTCATTTTAAAACATATGCATATATACGTATATATTTATATTGTTCTCATCATTGAATCTGTTGTAACGTTAATTTTGTACTGCTGCAGCATTATCTTACTTGGAAAATGACTATGAGGTGACTATAAACATTCATTTCTATTAGAATTGTGGGTTTATATTTGTCGGACAAAGAATATTCTGTTTATTTAAACAAATATGATGTACTTCAAATGCGTCATTAAGAATTCACTTAATTACACAACAATATTGATATTCAAACACTTCTTGTGTGAATATTACATGCAAAGTTCTAGCAATAAATCATCCGTACTTGTCTTCCACTTATCTTAAGCATGTCCTAAATAGGTGCTTAAATTACGCAGTGCGTGCTAGGTATCCAAATAAAGCAATTTAGGGTTATTTAAGTAGATTTCAGGTTAGGTATTGGATTCCTACAAAACGCGTAATGATAGGAAATAAACTTGTGACATTTTTGAAGACCTATGACAAAAGCAGGAGGAAACATCACATCCATATATACAATACACGTTTTGAAAACACACACACACGCATACATATAATTATAAGACACAGATTAAGGAAATGGAAATTTGTAAATAGCCATATATCCAATATGCTTGAAAATTGCTAACACTTTTCCTAACCATTCAATTTTTTTTTTTTTTGCTAATTAGATCATAAGGTCAAGATTTAGAAAAACATTTTGTAGACTGATTTTGCAATGAGTATAGAAAGCAACGGATTTCATCGTGGGTTCAAGGCGACAAAATAGACAAGAAAATTGAAATTTCACCAGATTGATTCTTATTTTTTTTTATGTTAATTAGTTTCCAATACTGATTTTGATAATCAAGCTTTTTTTGTAATTCGAAGAAAATTCTGCAATATTTTTTTATGTCAAATATTTTTGCTTTTAATGGTAATTCGAAAATTTCTTGATTATTTGCTTTGTAAATAGTTTTTATCTTGTAAGGGTTCTTTCCTTTTTGGGGGGTTTGTATAATGCTGGCGAGTCAAATTTTATAAAATAGCATTGTTGAAAAGCACTATCACGATATGATTTTAATTTCACTGAGACGAAAACATAAAAACTGAAATAAACTTAAGAACTAAATCGCATAATATGTTTGAAATTGTATAGCATTTCGATAGCTAAATCTTGACCTTAAACTAATAATCAAAAATAAATCTTAATTAAATTCAATTCGAGCCCCCAGAAGCTGTTTTGAACATTTTTATTAATACAACATTTTTCTTCCTTTCAGCTCCCGAAACAACATCTGTGATAACGACTGAACATACAACTGAACATATAATAGAGGAAGAACGTGCGCCGACCAACACTGATGAACCCATAATAGAAGATGTAACCGATAAGGGCTGCCCGGAGATAACAACCACCTTCATCATCACCGTGTCAGGGATGTTTATCGTTTCCCTTGGGGTCAACTATATCTGCTTTAAATGGTATTTTCTATCGAAATTTCCTCAACGAATTTTCAGATATTTCTTGCTAAGAGATTTAGATGACGGAAATAACAGGAATAAGTTTTATCAAAATAAAACATACTTCGATATTTTCATGTTTTGAATAAAAAATTATAATTTTTACAGTGGACAGAAAAGTGGTGCCCAAAATGAACGGAAACGCTTAAAAATAGAGTTTTCTGAAGACACTCAAGCGATAAATGTCCAACATTACCATAACGAGGATGAAAACATAGGACTAGAGAGGATAGCTGAACATCCAGGACCCTCCGCAGGCCAGATATCTAATCCAACACACGAATACGCCGCATATGATGAAATCAAAGACCAGCGACAACGTATGCAAGACTCTCAGAGGAGGAAAGAGGGAGGCTACCTAACACCAGTTTTTCAAGAGCCGAGTCGATCACAACCCCCTGCAAGATCTGGAGGAAATGGCTACGTATCCCCGGTTACAGCAGCTAAGCAGGCCAGCGGACAGCGAAATAAAAATGATTCCCCATCACCACCTGGAAATGGTGGGTATCTTTCACCCCTTCGGGAAGCAAAGGATGCGGCTGCAAGACTGTTGTCGGGCAATAGTGATTCCAGCTCAAACAAATCAGATAAATCGGACAAATCTAGAAAATATCAGAATGAACCGCCTCGCAAATCTCCACCTAAGACAGCTCCACTTTACGAGGCAATCAAAGACGCAAGTATTATCCAAGAACATCCTTATATTGATCTACAGACTAGTATGTCGTAGTTCCTATTTATTTTTATTTTTCATCATTGTTTTTTTTTCGAACTTATAATGAATTCATGCTTTAATAGTATTTTCTATTATTGTTCCTCTTAATTTTTAAAAATGTTTATAACGAATTCATTTTGAATAATAGTACTCATACATTTGTATCATATATTTTATATAACACAATATTTTAATACAAAACTAATATTTTGGATTTATTCAGATTACTTGCAGGTTACATGTACCGACAGAAATAGTTGTGAGCTCTCATTTTTGATTTTTTGTTCATGCTTTTATGTAACTTCATTATCAAAATCATCTATATATTCATTTGCTTAAGTTCAAGTATATACATGTATCTACCTTAAGCTTTCCATAATCGAATCTGTATAATTTATTGCATTTCCTAGTTTGTATGAATCATGTGCTTTAAAATAAGCATTCAATTGTAGCATAGCTTAAAGAAAACTCATTTTGCCAATTTACTAATAAATCTTTAATACAGAAATAGTGTTCTTCAGTTGACTAAATCATTTATTTCAGATGACTGATATGGTGTGGATATTTTTGGTAGTGAAAATAATATCAGATGGGGGAATAAAGGTTTCATTAGCAGTTTTTGATAAATGCTTCATTTTAGAATAAACACTGATGCCCCCGTGCGGCAGCTTATGGCGAGCGATGACGCTTCTCAAATTCATATAAAAAAACAGTTGATATCCAAAGAAAGGCCTTCACACAAGGAAAACGCCTGTGAAATATGAAAGCTTTATGAGTACTGTTGTTCGAAAGTAGTTACCAAGGTTAAATTTTCTTAAAAGTGGTTCAAACTCTAAGGTCAGAGTGAAAAAAATATTTATAATTATTGAATGTCTTCTCACAATAAATCATGTGATGTACTAAAGGCCTAGTATCAGCTGTTCAAAAATTAACAGGTTAAAGTTTGATATTTTTTTGCAAAAGTGGGTAAAAGTCCCAGGTCAAGAGGTTAAATTTGTTCGAACTCAAGAGAGGAAAACATTTATGAAAAAATAAAGCATTAGCCCCATCCACTCAATAGTTATGTGCAGTATTCAAGATACTGCGGACAAACAGACAAACGGATGCACAGAATACAGGCCATTTACAGTTTAAATAAATAATGTTATGATTTTCTTTAATTTTATTGCAAAGGTAATACTTCAAAACAAAAACTAATGTTAGAATATCTTCAGATAACTTCTTTCAACTTGAATAGCCAGTGGTCAAGCACGTTGATCCAGGCCAGCTAAGAGTTGGATTCCGCAGATAGAGAGTTCAACCTCAGGTTTGGTAGTTAATGGGTTCCCTTGGATTGCGAATTTTTTTTATATTCTGCTTTTATATATTAATAATCGTGAAGCTCTTTTGTTAATGAAATACATATACAAACATGCATGCAAATAGAAATCGCTTCATTATTCCTTCCTTGATATAAAATTGCACTTATGTAATACATGTTGTTCAAATTTCATATGATTAAGATCCAGATAATGATTGATCTCCCTAGCTGTTTTATGTCAAAAAATGTACAAAATAATATAACAAATTTTAAAACATTTGTTCCGTCTTTCAAGTTACCAGTAGGTAAAGGTACCTCATCTGGTCATTTTCAACAGAATCAGGCAAAACAGAAAAAAAAGTGAACCAGGAAAAAAGTCAACAAATTATCAATAACTATTGTGGATTAATTTATGATTTTTATCTAGGCAAAGTTAATTTGGGAATATATTGCGCAATTTTAATTTATTAATTAATAACATTATTTGAGTTTGGGGGTACGTGTAGATGGGCTATAAGCTCATTAGTTGACATTAAGAAGTGAAATTATTCGAGGTTACAAAGCAAAAATCTACTTCTTCATATTCCATATATATTTTATTATTCTGTTCATTCTAGGTTTGAAGTAATTGTTTTATATGTATCATTTTTATTTTGTTAAGTTTAATTTTCATTGAAAATTATTTTGCTACTGTAACAATATATAAATATGAAGAAATTTTGCAGTTTTGGGAATATTGAGAGTCTACTGTGAATACAAATGTAGCGGATTGGGCAAAACATTGACATGAGAATATTTTAATTGATTAAATACAGCTTTAGTTTTCAGGTACCCTACTGCTATATATCATTTGATTTAAATGAAGGCATAGTATAGGCTACCCTTTTTAAAAACAAAAACATTTCACTTTATGATCTCAAAGCAATAAAACCCTTTTTAAAAGAGGACAAATCCAAGAATACTATTACTGGTCCATTTCTTTTCTAGGGAAAATTTTTTAACTGGATATCATCTTTATTTCCGAGTATTTCTCCTTATGTGTTAATTATATGCTTAAAAGTATATCCCTTCGTTTAATGATAAATGTACAAATAAGATATTCATTCGCAATTAGCTGATAGAAGGATGAATCAACAAAGGTACACTCGTTAGGATATTGTATTGGGTTATTAGAATGGGGTAATTTTTGAAACGATGAAAACATGTCTCAATTCTAACAACTTTATGTTTTTTAGTTAATTTTACAACCAATAAAAAACAAGTGGGACATTAAGTGATTACAATAAAACATAATGTGTTGTACCTAAATATAACTTCCAGGTAATTTTCAGTTGTAATGTGGCTTCAGATATATATAAAGATATTTTAAATGAAATATAGGGAAACTTTACGGTGTTCTCTTAGCACGATTAAAAATAAATTAAGCGTTAAAAATACAACTTTAGAAACCTCCCCTTGAAATAGTTTACTAGTTAGAGAAAAAATAGGAATTAAATTAAATGCCATATATTTTTGACGCCAATTCCAAGTGTCTGCCACTTGTATAAGCATCAAAATTACACCGATTAATATTGTTAAGCATTTAATAATATTTCCTCTCTTTCCAAAATAACAATAATTAGAGAGCTTTTATGGAGCATTGAAATGTAGAATAAAAAAGTAGGATAAATAAAAATCCAGATACATTTCATATCAAATTACAATTTTTATCATTTTCTTTTCAGAGCACTTTTTTGCTGATGTTCAAAAGATCCTGTATAAATTGTACATCAAAAAAATAATGTCCATTTGAAGTACTCATTTTCCATAAAAAAAATAACCAAGTATTTCGACCGATTGTGCCAATGACAAAAATACAAAGGTGAGTGTTTAAGACTGTTCAATACATCTTAAAACTACCATCTCTGAGTTCCTTAATCATCGTACAGATGAATGTTGTGTGTAGCATGTGCTAAATTTTTAGCAGAAGAATTGTAGGATAAATGTAGGTACTAAGAGGCGAAACATGGTAGCAATTTTTAGAGAAAAGTAATTCAAGTTTCAAAATGTTTGATCAGAGAGGAGTTATTTTTATCGTCTTTTTCATTGCAAAGAGAAACCAGGGTTTCAAACATGCCTTAAATAGGTTTTCTTTTTACTCAAAAAGTCTTGTTATATGTGTACTTGAAGAACGTTTAGCAGGATTCTATAGGGTAAGTCCACAAGCCTGTCCCCTTGGTGAAATATTTAAAGTTTACAACGCTGCTGCAAATAAGCATAGAGATGCAAAGTAAATTCATTATGGAGCTTAGCCAACCCTTATATTTGCTGTCATATCTTTTTTCACCATAAAACTTAAGAAAACCTTCATATATAGGAAGACAACACATTATCATAGTAAACACCAAAGTCAGTGCCATTAGGTATCTATACAACTTATCTATGAAAATTTAATTTTGAATGATCCTTCATCAAATCAGGAAATTATTTACATTGAAAGTAAATTACGAGCCTGTGATCTGGACCACTTAGCCTACAATAATATAAAGGTCAAATATTAGGAACAACTCACGCAAAATTGAACTGTTATAAGTTTACAAGCTTTTGGACTTTTGAAACCCATGATTTACCTTTATTTATTTCCTACACGGAAGTGTATTGAAATCTCATTAAAATGAATTAGCATTCAGTCAGCACCATCTCGAAAGTTTGGTTTAATTCAGTATGAAATCTGCAATTATTAATTTTTTTTCAGTTTTCACAAATGATAGCACAAAAGCAAATCTATATGAATTTTATGAAGTCTTTTATAATCAGTGTATTAATATTTATGCCTTTTGATTGGTCCTTTCATTTGTTTATAGAAGTTTAAAGAAATAAGATAAAATCAATAATTCTGATGGAGAGGCATCGGGTCAAGAGACAAAATCTACATAGAGACAACAAAACCAAGAAAATCAACCGGGTAATATAACAAGCCAAGGACAATCAGATCAAAGACATGGACCTCCAGGTCAAGAGAATTCACGTCAAGGATACTCAGGTCAAGGATATCTAGTTTGGGACAATCAGTCCAGATCATGGCCATTGGAGTGGACAAGCTCAGGGGAAATTAAATATTCACTTCTGGCCAATACATACAATCATTACTCATTACAATGATAAAAAAACATTTCGTGTCTGATTTTTATGCCTTTTTCTACTATAATTTTGTAGTATATATATTTTCATTCTATAAATAATTATTTTTCAGTGTTGTGAGATTCATAATTGGCTCTGCACCAAAGAATCGTACCACATAGCACTACATCTGAAATACTTCCAATCTGAGGTCAACACAGTCACGTCAAATTGATTTATAATGTTCATGTAAAAACGATTATGCAAGTAAATGAAAGTATCATAATTTTGTGTTTTGTATTTCTTTGAGCATGCAATAATAAGGTATTTAGATGGCGCAAGCGTATGTAGGTTTTCCGAATGAAACAGTTATCATATGTGGTTCAAAAGTTATTCGAAATAACCAAGATACTCGTAAAAGTATGGATTGAATTCATATACTGGGTTTGCATGTTTTAAAATAGGAATAAGCTGATAAAGCTTAACAGTAAAACTCATAATTCAGTCAAAACAGAGTTATATATTTACTCATGTAAGGACTGGTATATAGTTTTATTTGTTAACTTAATATATCAAAACATGCATGCTGTACATCTGTTTTCTTTGAATGTCAATGCATTATTTAAATCTGTTTCTCATAAAACACATGTAAACACTTCTGTCCTAGAATAGAAGTCAACAGGCCTATATTGAGTCTGAGTTATTTTCTAAATGTTTCTTTTTTTCTAGACGTTCCGGAAATAGAAACGGTCAAAGTAGAGAAGGGACTTCCGGTGATTACTATAGCCTACATTATCACTGTTCCAGGGCTTTTAATTCTTTGTTTCGGAGTTAACTTCATCTCTTATAAATGGTAAGTTAAACATAGTTCCATTTCCAAGAGTGTATTAAAGTAATTATATTATTGAAATGTTAGTTTAATTATAGTTCATTTTCGTATTTTTAATACTTCTTTGCATAGTTTTACGTCTTTTAAAAAGGGGGATGAAAAAAGGCCAGAAGAAGGAACGTAAACGTTATTTGCTTCGGTCGAAGGAAAACGCACAAGGGGGCGATTACCAGCATTATTTCAATGATGTAGAAGAAATGAAAGCGCGATCTTTACGTACAAGGGGATATCCGGTCGCCGAGTTTCAGGACCCGTCACACGACTATGCTGATTATGACGAAATAAAAGATCAGAAATTTGAGGCCATGTTGGCAGAGGAAAAAGGGTATTCTACAGCAGAATACGAAAGTCGGAATCGGCCATTGCCTCCAATTAAAGCAGACGATGATGGGTATAGTGTTCATGTAGATGATCCGTCCCCAGAACAAAAAAACAGCAGCACATCCAATGGATCCTCTTCACCACCAGGAAATGGAGGCTATCTTTCTCCTCTACAAGAAGAAAAGGAAGCAGAAGAGAGATTAGTGTCCACCAACAGCGATTCTAGTTCAAACAAATCGGAAAAATCGGAAAAGTCAAGAAAATATCAAAATGAACCGCCTTGCGATTCGTCGTCTGAACCAATAACACCTTATGAGTTAATTAAAAATACCGAGGACAGTAAGGATCATCAGTACATAAAACTTAAATCTAGCACATCCTAGTCTAGTACTAACATTTTTATTTAAAGCTATTCTTAATCTTAACATAGACAACTTTGCCTATGACAGTCTTTATTTTTGTGTTTGATCCAGTACAAATACACAGTGTATATGTATTAATGTAATTATTGGAATAAAAGTGAAGGAAGCCAGTATGGTAATTCAGAGTCTTTTGAATCTGATTAATGATTATCAATCAGCTACATGTAGGTGCTCGTGAAATTTAATGAGGATCCAGGCTAAAAAAAGTGCATTATAATTTTTAATATTTGATAGATTTTCAGAAGCACTGCTAAAAATAATTTTAACTTAAACACGTACAGTTGTAAAAAATGAAAATTGAATATAAGATATATAAAGCATTCACTTATTTCATAATCATTATTTTTATGCCCAATACGCAAAGATTGGGGGGTATTCACAAGTGGTTTTAGAACTGCCCGTCTTCCTGTTAGTCTGCCATACTTTAATCTTGCCCATATTTTTTGAGTGGATTGGGTTAAAGCTTTCATATTTCACAGGTATATTCTTTATGACAAGAATTTTCATCGGGAATTATCAAATTTGACCTGATCTTGAAATTTGACCCACTTTTACTTAAACATTCCAAATTTTAACAAGGCCTATTATAGAGCTTTCATTCATCAAACATTTATTTCTTATGATAAGGTTTTTTTTTGGATACCAACAATTTTGACCATGGTGTTTGACTTACATTTCTGAAACTCCAACCACAGGCATTTGTAACGTATACAGGGTATCCCCAACTTATTTGTATCACAAGATACCTATAACTCTTTTCAGGCATCCTCGCTTCAAGCTCATATTTTGTTAATATATCAAATAAAAACCTACTTTGGAATAACATTGTTAGCTTCAAGATACTTTCCCTAGTCAATTAAATAGTTTTTGATGTCTTTGGTCGAGCCTCTGTATTGAAAACCACTCATTTATTCCTCGAAAATTACCTCGATACATTTTAAGACTTCTATTAGGATACAACTTCCGGTTCCGATACTGAGTATTCCATTTCGCTGTCTCTGGTTTTATCCTTAATTTGTAACCCCAACCTGATCTACTTGTATCCCAAGAAAAGCCTTAAAATGTATAAGAAGAATGAATGAGTAGTTTATAATAAGGAGTCTCAACCAGAGACGTCTGAAACGTTTTTATTGACAAGTAAAAATGTCTCTTGAAGCGAACAATGTCATTTTAAAGTAGGTTAATGATTGATTTATTAACAAGATACGAGTTTGGAGTGGGGGTGCCTGAGAATGAGTTAAGTACCTTGTGGAAAAATAAGTATTTTGGGTACCCCGTATACGAAACAAGTGCCTGTAAGTCCAACCCTCGCTATAAGTTGTCATACGTGGGACATAAGTGTTTCCCAAAAGATTTTGTGTTTTGTTTGCTTTTTTATCATTACAAAAATATTCCATGAAAAATTAATGTTTATTATTATAGTTAGGTTAAGTTAACTGTATTATCGAAAAGTACTTAAAGTATTATGATTTACAGATTCTTATGTTTTAAAATTGTGTTACATTTCACGAGCATTTTTAAAAGAAAAAAAAAATCATTTAATATACCTTGTATATTTACACGTTTTTTTTCAAAATATTGGCATCATTTGTGTAAAAAAACCTGTAAGGCTCTTATTAATAAAAAGTGAAGTTTCAAAGTTGATGAAACTTTTAAAGTATTCACTATCTTAATGGTAAAATTTAGTTACATGCAATTACAGCAAAGGATTATTAAGGATAATATGGGTTCCTAAATCAGTATAATGGTTACTTTACTTTTGTTAATTTTGCCTATCTTTTTACTCCTTATATATATGCAATAAACAAAAATTTGAACTTTGTTCGAAACACTAAATTCGGTTTTGTTTTATTATACCCCCGCTTGATAAGCGGGAGGGTATATAGAAATCGGTATGTCCGTCCGTCTGTCCGTCCGCCTGTCTGTTACACTTTGGGGTACCCATCTCTTATCCGCAACTCCTCTTACATACTACTGAGTGAAATTTAATGAATCTTTCAAAGAATCTTTATTACATATTGCCATTGTGCACCTCCTATTTTACTTTTTGATCCGACATATATTTTGGGTTTCCCACAGCAACATGGACACTGCCATTATATTCATATGGGAGGCGGGGGTATCATTAAGTGAGCTTATTGCTCACAATACCTCTAGTTGAACTGACTTCACGTAATCGAAGAATGTGGGTAGATACTGATATAGTTTTACTCTGTCTCTGGTCTGTCTGGTCGCTCGTCTGTTTGTCAACGAAAACTTTAACTTTGCAAATAACTTTTGATTGATAGAGTAAGCCTTTCGTATTTCGCATGTTTTTATCACATGATAATTTAAAAAGCGAGATTCATTGACATAATATACCACTGCTTTTTTCTATGAAAATGAAATTTATAAATTCGCATCTTATTATTGGTCTTCCACAAAATATACAATTTGTAAAAAATAAAAAAAGACGTTGACTCTTCATAAAAAAGGTCTGAAATTCATATCAAATAGATACAGAGGTCATTATTAACAAAATTGATATCTATCTATTCTTTTGAGAAATTCGAATTGTGAATAAGATTAATTATAAACTTCTACATGAGAAGGCGAAAATTAACAATGACTATTTTGTTCCTGTGTCAACTAGATCCACGTATATGACAATTTATTTGAAATTAAAGGCACTACAAAATCTGTCACATCTGTTTCATTTTGATTATGTTTAACAGACTATTGAAAGATGATATAGGCATAATGGTTTGTATTCCAATGTCTACTTCCCTTATGTTCCAACATCATCTAACTTAGATGTTTATATCTCCTATAAAACTCGATATGCAAGAGCAGGCCACAAGTACATTGTTGACAATAAGTTGAATATAACAAGGATTTAAACAACCTCGTTTAAAGCTTTTTGCATATTCAGCAGTCGATATATTGACCTTCTAAGGTGAATTTACAATTCACAGTTCTTTGGATAAAAATAACAATCTTGCGTTACATCGTATTTTGTCTAACATGATTGTTACCATTAGTAAAATCATTGGATTTATATTATTTTTACGACGTACATGCAGGTCTTTTTACACCTGATCAATTCAGAATGCTCACAGCGGTTTGACCTGTCAAGAGAGAATGCTCACCCCTCCTCAGCACTTGCATGATTTTATCCCCTGATGTTTCCAAAATCTATTTTAAATTTACTGATATCATATTTCAAAAATCTAATCTTATGAAGAAATCTTTTATCGTGGAGGAAAGATCATGACTCTTGAATGTACCAAGCTTATTTTTCTCTAATTGTCAAATCCTCATCTTTGCTTCAATCCTTTTTTCAGGTCGACAAAATAGAAAGAGATAGATATTGGGATATTTTATAAGGTTTTTGGGTTTTGAATTTATAATCAACTTCGTTTGGCTTTTTGTCGAAGACATAGCTCAAGTTTTAAAGGATATATGCATGTGAGTACACCATTTGACTTATAAGCAACAATAATAGTATTCTTTAAGTATTTCAAACGCGATTTAACATAAAGGTATGTCGTGTGCCCTCAGGATGTTCTTAATGCTGAAAAAAGAGACATGATGTAACTTTAAACAACGTTCACTTGTTCTGAAAAAAATCTGTTGTTGAGAATTCGTAACATGATAGGAAAAAACACTTTATCTTCTGAAGTTCCATCTTTCATTTTCCATCCGTTATCATAAAAAAAGAAAAAAGACAGAGTATTAAGAAAAGAGGTAACTAATAGTGAATGTATTTAAAATGTCCCGTATCATTTACAAAAGAAATATCGTTTCAAAAATATTAACTTCTTAGAGAAGGACACTATTTTTTACACTTGATCTGACATGAATTCAATGTGGATTAGATTTATCTCCCAAAATCATGTCAATAAATAAATGAAATTTCTCGGATAGTTAAGCAACATTCCTAGGGTACATTTCAGCATCTAAGATTTAGTTCATATCTAACTAAATAGGAACGTGATGGAAAACAAGTTTTATCGCATTTGTTAATAACTGTAAATGAAAATGAATGAATGTTTTTCAAAAATGTAGAATTATCACTATATACATATTATAATGCACAAATATTTTCAGACTGTGGGTCAAAAAGTATGGATATTCTAAATATATGAAATCTAGATTTTTAAATGGCCTTTTGGACAAACTTTTATTTCAAAACTGATTTAACAAAAATATATGTCGTGTGCCCTCAGGATGTTCCTAATGCTGAAAAAAGAGACATATTGTAACTTTAAACAACGTTCAATTGTTCTGAAAATAATCTGTTGTTGAGAATTCGTAACATGATAGGAAAAAACACTTTATATTTTGAAGTTCCAGCTGTTATTTTCCATCCGTTATAATTAAAAGAAAAAAAGGCTTAATATTAAGATAAGAGGTAACCAATGTGCATGTATTTAAAATTTCCTTTATCATTTATAAAAGAACTAGCTAGCCTTTCAAAAATATAAACTTCTTAACTAAAGACACCATTATTTTTTTTAAACTTGATCTGACATGAATTAATATGGATCAGATTTATCTCCGAAAATCATGTCAATAAATGAAATTTCCCGTACTTTTCATAACGTCCCATTGGTTTATTTCAGGATCTAATATTTAATTCATATCTAATTAAATAGAAACGTGAAGGAAAACAAATTTTATCGCATTTGTTTAATGTTTAAATGGTGTTTGGAACACACTTTATTTTCTTTCAAAAACTCTTCTCTACGTAAAGGTACTACTTGAGTTTCAATCAAATGCCATATGTAAATGTTATATTTTTATATAGAACCGATTCTTTTTAATCTGAAAATCAAAACAATAAGGTTAAACTTAGAGAAAAGGGAGGCAATCAAGTTCAAATGTCCACTGAGACAGGGCAAAATTAGACTTCTAATACATAAAAAGGGATCATACGCCATAGAGAAGAAAGCATCCCATGTTGATTAGACAAATCCAATGTATGTTCCTTGCCATAATCGGAAAAAGGCAAAATCCATGGACAAACTCAGTGTGTAAATAATGCCCTTATTATTCAAATGATAAATACATGTATAAGTATTATTTAACTTAGATTTTTGTATTAGCTGACAAGGTCATTGTATCGACAGTAAAACTTTCAAAATGATTTTAAAGGAGTCTATTGATATCATTGTTTATTTCACTTTGTCAATTGTTTGCCTTGCATATCGAATCAATTATGGGGCATAAACCCTAAATGCAGGTTGTTTGGGATATATTGTTACATTAGTAAAGGAAGAAGACGATAGAAAAGTAGAAGTCATGATGTTTTTCATAAAGATATGTTGACAGATTACCATTTACGTCTTTTTGTAGTAAAATATACTTATTTAACAGTTATGTCAGTTTCTGTGGAATGTTTAATTTCAAGCTCACTTAAGCATAAATATATCAAGTCAGTATATGAATGGAAGTAACTAATAGTTAATATAGATAATACATCGTCAATATATCTTAATGTCGAATTGAAGGTCACGAGTGTTCTCATGTATTTTTCAAAGTGAATTTTGCATTTTGCAAATAAGTCTACTGAGAACAGGACGGGAACGCTACCTATAGAAAATTATGGTATAAATCCATTCATTTCATGATTTTACCCACTTTAAAAAAAATGACTAATTCAATCTAATTTTAATATTATAAAAAAAATTATGCAAGATTTATTTTAATTTTTAGGTGTTCTGAAAAGCAATATGATGAAAAATATTTATGACAATATAAATTTGGTGAGCCAACGGTTTCTTTAGCAAAATAAATAACGATGAAATTATCAAATGCATAATTCTTTCAATTATCTAGAATTATATACTTAAGGTTATATTTTTTTTCCATTTGAGCATTTAAGTATTTGCATATAATATGAAAGTCATGAAGATAAATAACTTGTCTGTGATATAATATTAAAGCATTACTTTTAAAACCTGATTTGTGTCGGAAAAAATCGACGGAACAGTATCTTCTCTTGGGTACTTAACGCCCTAAATAATATCAGCCGATGAAAGCAAGTATGTCTACTGCATCTTGAGAATCTAGCACAAAACTGCGATTTAATTGTATAAAGATAGGAAAAGAGGAAATAATTTCTTCCTCAATTTCAAGCACTTTAAAATTATTTTTTCCCCTCATGATACAATTATAATTTTAGTAATTGAGAACTTTACAGGTACTTCCGCAGTCATGGCTGGTTTTATTTCCGATTTTAACGAGTACAAAATGTTTTAAGTGTGCAGAAAATATATAAATATTTATTATCTATGTTTACAAATATGTTTAAAAGTAAGCATGATATTTCAACATTAATGAAAAATGAAATTAGACCGTAACTGTACAAAGAATTATTTTTGTATATTACACTTGCTTGTTCGATTAAAACCCTTGTTTTTCACAAAAAGATCAACTTTCTAAATAGAAGAAATATAATGATTTACTGCTACTTTTTATTTCGAAGTTTGCTTTCCTAATGCTTCTACCGTTTCGTTTTTTAAGTTGTAATTTAGACGATCATCTCCTTAATAATTTTAGGCAAGAAACAAAAAGAAGCTAGGGAAAATCATATACACAAATCTCAAAGCGCCAAAAACGTTTTCAAAGAAAATATACATTACGGCATCAAAAGAGGGATAACCGGCGCATTTTCATAGATAAATACGAGTAAGAGCTTCATAGTCTTTTAACCACACAAACACGTGTACGAGAATGTAATAGTAAATTAAATCTCATCATTCTAGCCCTTCATTTGTAATACTAAAGACTTATTCACATTCAAAGCCAAAGTTGATTTTAAAATATAAAACTGCCCTTGGCATTAAAACTTTAATCTAAAGGTTATAGCAATCGAAGCATAAGATTTTATTACAAACATTTCATAATTAGGTACCTCATTAACACAAACGAAACTTATTTTGCTCTTCATATTAGCATAATTACGCAATAAATAATTTATTGAAAAAAAAATGAAGGATATGAAGATAACGAACAATATTCAATATCAAAGTCCTTAAAACAATACAGAACAGAAGTAGAGCAAACAAGAACCTCCAAAACATGAGAGGTGGGATCAGGTGCCAGGGAGGAGTGAGCATCTCCTGGCGACCGGTAACACCTGCTGTGTGCTCGTGTCGTGATGGAAAATAACGGAAAATCCGTCGATTCAGTGTTTAAATAATGGACTAAAAATAAGTATGAAAAACATCAGTCAGCATTTGACTCAATGATAAATTGTATTTTCTGACAAGGTCATTGTACCGACCGTAGAATTTACGAAATGATGACTTTAAACGATACTGCTGATATTCTTGTTTCAACTTGCTTGTCAATAATTTACTTCGTTTTAGAAATTGTTCATACGTAGAGCATGCTCTTGCGTATCGAAGCAACTGAGATACATAAACTCCATATGCAGGTGAAGTTATATTGCTACATAAGTAAGGGAAATTGACGATAGAAAAGTTAGAATCACCATGTTTATTACAGAGCTTGGTTGTTAGATTACCATTTATGTCTTTTTCAAGCAAAATATCCAAGTATGAAACAAATGCATGTGTCAAACTCTGTAGTATCTTTTATCTTAAACTCACCAGGATATATCGTATCGACAAAAGAATGGAAATTACCATTGTTAATTGACAATACGACGTCGATATATCTAAATGTTGAGATGAAGGCCACAGCAAGCGTGATCTTTTTATCACGCAGAAGACTTTGCTCAAATATTGCTTCATATGAATACAAAAATAGAGCTACTAATAACGGAGCGCAGTTTGTACCTATCGGTATACATAGTCTCATAAAGTTCTGCAACCGTGTGTGCCACCAAATTTTCATTACGTGCGTTAGCCAATACCCATGCATTGTATTGAGTTAATGGAAGAGCCAATGTACATGTAACAGCTGGTCAATATGAGCGTGACTTTTGATTTTCGCTTATGACGTTGCACTTCTTCGGCGTTCAGCTATTGCTATGTCAATATAAATCGCATGCTTTAACCTTTTGACACCCTTTGCGTATTGAGGTGTTTTGAATACTATAGATTTCCATACAATTTGTATGCAAGAAACTCGTGTAATGTAAATAATTTGTACAAATACTTCCTCTTCTCTGTAAAGCATTCATCACATATACAATAAGAGTATAATCGTCGAATATTTATAAATATAAAAACACTGAGAATATTTTATCATGTAAATGACTTAGTATGTTCGATAAGAGGGAATTTATTGAAATACCCAAATGAGGCCTTAGAATGAAGGTGACAACATTATTTATTTCGATTTATATTTCCTTGTTTTGTCCCCTTTGTGCGTTAGAGGGCAAACACATCTGTAGTTATACAAGGTATCTACGTAATCGTCTTTTGAAAATATTTTAAAATTTAAAAAAATGTTGCATTATGCATATAGTTTTGTACATTTTTTAAATCTATTTGTTCAGGTCTGGGAAAAAATACTTTGATTGCTGCTTGGGATATAAAGAAATGAATGGTGTATGCGTCCAAAAAGGTTCCGTCTCTTTTTTAATGTACATTTCAAAAATATTTTCCTTAATACACGTTTTTAAAGGTATAAGATATGTATATTACTAAATCAAATATTCAGATTGACTTTTAAAACAGTTACTTTTATCTCCAGAACAGTGGTCTGACTTTTGCTTTTTAAGTCTTTTTTTTATATATATATTGAAGTCTGCTATCCAGGATATGTGGGAAAATACTGTAATACAACATGTCCAGAAAACAACTTTGGGCAGGGGTGTTCATTTAAGTGTAAATGTGAACAAACACAGTACTGTCACCACGCTTGTGGTTGTCTGCTTAGATCAGTAAAATCTGGAAACATGTCAAAAGACGGAAAAAACTCAACCAAAATCAGCAGAGATGACATAGTCCCGGATAACTGCATGGGCGAACTGAAAACGGCAACAAACATTACAAGAGGTAAACTACATCATGTATAATTACAAGAATAAATACACCAAAAGCAGGAATTCGAAAGGGTAAAATTAAAATAATATACAATTTTTCTTGATTAATAAACAAATTCACAAACTAAGCATAAATACAAGAATAAATTAAAGAGATTGTACGAGAAAAATTTATAAGAATCATTTCCTTTTACATTAAAAGAATATTCCAGCATCCGATGAAACTCAATTTCCGTTTTCTAAAAACATGGGATAAATCATATTTACATTATATCAAACTGAATGGAAGACGCACAATTATACGTTTTTTTAAATTCAACATCTCCTTTTATATAACATGGAATTCGTCAATAGAAACAGGCACAACTGACTCAACAGAATTGTTCCTTCTGGTTTCAACATCGTGCAGTCTTCTGGTGTTTTTATTATCAATTGCATCATTAATATACTGGTAAGAATTCTTTAAAGAAAGATAACACAGAAACTTTTTCAAAATGGCTATGAACATAAAACTTCTTTCATCGTCTTTCCTTAATTTTCTTTCGTTTTTTAAAAAAATATTTTTAATATAATTATATGTACATTCTTTTTAAAATTAAATTTCAGCCATCAAAAGCTTACAACTCTAAAAGTAACAGGTAAATTTATATTAAGCATTTTGTGTGAATTCAAAACACATTATATTTTTTATCTTTATTATTCATTAACCTGGCGTAAATGTTTTGTACAGAAAATCCAATAACACTCCTTTAAATTTCAGAAACTAAAACCCAACAAAATAATCTATATAGTGTAGAGGAAGTTAATACAGATGAAGATATTGAAAACGAGCCTGATGAGACTCCAGAGGATCCTATTTATAACAGCTATGAAGAACCTTGTTACAGCATTCTCAAGCTAAAGGTTAACCGATCATCTTTGTGTGTAATGGAACAGCCTTGAAGCTTCATGCAGTTTTAATGAAGAAAATACATACATGTATGGGCTTAACTTTAAGAAAATGATAAATAAGAATGTAGCAAGAGATTAATTAAGACTTAATGCTTTTAATGTACCATTCCATTGACATGTCTCTTTACATAATGGATATTACCATATCAAGTAAACGATAAAACAGAATTGTTGATAAACGTCCCCTCCCTATTTATCTCTAATTGTTAAGTGCTCACGCTTTGTTCTACTTCGTCGGAGTTCAACATTAGTAATATAATGGATTTGAAACTTTTGTTCTTACAGTCCATAGGTCGCATGTAAGAGTACAACAATATACCATGTTGCAGCTATCTACTACGCATACAATGACAAAACTAGCTTTTCTGAAAACACAAATATAATTGCAATCTCTACAACTTGTACTAGAAAAGCTATGCAGCATAAAACGTATTGACAATGTTATTAATTATGCATGTTATCCAAAAAGTAATTTGTCAGTATTGCACCGCATTGTATTTTTCCTTTTGTCGTATATGTATTTCAAAAACTGAAGAATGGAAATAAATAGGAAATTGTGATTGAAATTCAATACTGGATATTTTCTCTATTGTGACTCTTCATCATTCTTTGATCATCTGCAAAACATCTGTTAAAGTATTTACAATAATCTCTGTAAGTTTTGTTTATGTGCAAAGTCTGAGTGTGCCTTGATTTTTGCCACTCATATCTCCATTATCAAATTTCTAAATTATCTTCTGTTCACAAAAATATGAAGATAACGAACAGTGGTTTAGCTCAACAAAATCTATAAACAATACAAATTTTTCAAGAAGGCATTAAACTCAGATCCATGAAAAAATCGAGATCAGGTAAGTTTAGGTGCCTAAGAGGAGTAAACATCCCCTGTTGACCGGTCACACCCACCGTAAGCCTTATGTATTGATTGGTAGACAGAATATTCCTAAGTCAAAATCAGTATAAAAAACAAAAGTGCAACAATTAGTATCAAACAATCTTTAAATTCTATTATTTTGATTACATCATTACATATACTCCCCAAGGCATGCTACATGTAATATCAATTCTAAAATCTTAGCTAGTAATCAGCTAGAACACCAATTGGTTACTCACATGGGCATATATTTTTCTTTTACATAAAGAGCTTAATATTTTTTTTAAAAATCTAGGTTATAAGTTAATTTTTTTGCATGTCTTTTTGTGTAAAATTATCAAACAAAGCCATCTGCTTGAACAGCTAGCTTATAGCGCTATACAGTCATTTTTTAAACAAATGTAAAAAGGGGTACTTACATCTGTTTTACTTTGTTCAAAAACTGTACCATAGAATGTTGTTAGTTTCCACGGAACAAAAAGAGTTTTGAAAGATGATTTAGTTTTTTTTAAAACAAATATCGAAAAATAAACGAATAAACTCCTGGAAAATATTGTCCTGTAAAAGCATTCTTACAAAAAAATCCCCCATAAATGATATCCCAATTTTGGAATTGACTCCTGTCTAGCACGTCTTTGATTGCATAAATTTCGAAATGAAGCAAGGTTGTCAAGTTAATCTTTTATATTTGTATGTAAATTTGATATACATGTACTACTAAGTTTTTTTAAGTATGTAACCTTTTAATGGAGATTCTATCCCGTTAGTTTTTTAAACTCAAGTTTATAAGACAGATTTTTAAAAAATCCCAAAATATGTGCTGTGATTTGTAAAGGCACCAAATCATTTTAATGGAATTCACAAAAATACAAACACTAGGGCTGTTCAATAAATAATTTCCTGAACTCTATGGCATACAACACAGATATCATATGGCATTAAGCTTGACTTTTTATCATGATGAAATCTTTAATGAATTGATACATGCATATGTATCAGTTCATGCGACCACTTTTCATCTCATATTTTCGTTGTGTGAAGCTAGAAAACAAGAGCTATTCGAGACACTGTTCTAAAAATAAATGGTTAGAAATCAGTAAATTAGAATGAAATTAAACGCTTACTTAAGCTGCTGTAAAGCTTGTTAAGAATCTCAAAGAAATATTCACTGAAATTTGTGAAGTTTACAGCATCCAATATCTGTTTTATAGACACATGAGCAGGTGGATTTCAATGAACAATAATGATACATGTAAAATGGGCATAAAAAATGGGAACAATGGCGACAAGGACTAACAACAACCAATGTTCCGTTTGCCTAAATTCAATTTGGGAATAATTTACACTATTTTTAAGAAACAATTGACTGTTAAAAGCTTAGTACTCAATGATCACCGTATGTTTTAAAAAATGAGTGAAAACGACAGCGTGTAAGATTATCTAAACAATTATTTTTAAAAATCTGAAAGTGTAGTTATCCTTCTTTGTCTGAAATTCAAACAAATAATGAAACTTAAACCCGTTGCTTTAAACCCTCCAAATATATAAGATGCACAAAAATTAGGCAAGATCTGAAAAGAGCAAAGAATTGCAAGAGGACAACGACAGTTTTAATTGCCATTATCTTAGATATCAGTGGTCTTGTTGTTAAAATTCTTATTCGGGGTGACAGTTCAATTTCTGGAGGACTCTAGAAAGCAAAATTTTGCAAAAAGAATTGAAAGGTTTAAGAGAGGACGGAACCAGAATCAGAAATCCACTACGTTAAATTTCTTTATGGCAGCGTCCGAACCCACACTCCCTGGAGAGAAAATGTTTGGGGGATAAACAGGAAATGATGGGATCTGCCATATTTCAGTTAACGAAGGAACATACTCAAAAAATGGTTCCAAAAACAATCAGAAATTGAATAAAAATGTTACAAATCATGTGTTTTAATTAAAAGAGAATATTTAAATTAAATCATTAAGACTTTAATCATTGAAAAACGCCTTTTATTTCTTTCCGAGCAATGAGGACATTATTTATTGAACATCCCTCGTATCGTTTACGGAAGCCCATTTAGGACCTATCAAAAATATTTTTGAATTCGTTATAACGATTTTTAGAATTCGTTATAACGAATTTAATTTGTTTTAACAGCCTTTTAGAATTCGTTATTACGAATTTAATTTGTTATTACAACCTTTTAAAATACGTTATAACGAATTAAATTTGTTATTACAGATTCATTGAATTCGTTATAACGAATTTAATTTGTTATAACAAATTTTTAGAATTCGTTATAACAAATTTAATTTGTTTTAACAGCCTTTTAGAATTCGTTATAACGAATTTAATTTGTTATTACAGCCTTTTAAAATACGTTATAACGAATTAAATTTGTTATTACAGATTCATTGAATTCGTTATAACGAATTTAATTTGTTATTACAGATTTATTGAATTCGTTATAACGAATTTAATCTGTTATTACAGATTTTTTGAATTCGTTATAACCAAATTCGTTGAATTAGTTATAACGAATTCAACATATCTGTAATAACAGATTGAATTCGTTATAATGAATTCAACAAATCTGTAATAACAGATTAAATTCGTAATAACGAATTCAATGAATCTGTTATAACAAATTAAATTCGTTATTACGAATTTAATAAATCTGTTAAAATAAATTAAATTCGTTATAACGAATTCAATAAATCTGTTATAACAAATTTAATTCGTTATAACGAATTCTAAAAAATCGTTATAACGAATTCAAAAATATTTTTTGATGGGTCCTAAATGGGCTTCCGTATATCGTATTTCTTTTTCTATAAAAATTGAATTGTTTAGACCCGAAACATCTTAAATGACACATACTTAAGTAATTACATGTATACTATTATATTATGATTCTTGTTGATATTTCTATGTCTTTTGTCTTTTTCATCAAGAATGAAACTATAAGTAAGAAAATATAAGCACAGTACAGTGAGCAAATATGCTTCATAAAAGCATGCATTAATTTAAAATTGTAACTTGTTATTAGACACTGAAATTGACATTTTGAATAGCAGTGGGGGATGTATTTCAACAGTATGCAATTTGTCTTACATAAATAATCTATAAATTATTTTTGCATATTAAATGAAATTTTTTTAAAGATAACGCACGATGATCGATCTCATAAAAACTTCAAACAAGGAAAATCTGTGAACAAGGTATACCACGGACCCTTCAAATTCCAGATCAGGTAGGATAAGGTGCCTAGGAGGACCAACCATTCCCTGTTGGCTGGTCATGTTACAGTCGTCGTGAGCCCTGTGAGTATTGGTCAAGTAGGCAAAACATTCCGTATTCAAAATTCAAACAAATATAACAGTTTTGATCTGAAACAAGTCAAGCAAAATACGACCCAGTGAAAGGTTATATTTGCTAAATTAATATTTATTAAGGTCATTATAATGATCACAGAATTTATGAAATGATGACTTTGCACGAAGTTGTTGAAATCCATATAACACCTGTTCATAATTAGGTAATTTAGCCTGCCCCGGTTAAACTGTTCATTCTCACAGTCTTGTCTGTAAAGGAGGAGGTCTCAAGTCTACAATCGGAAGATTTTCTATTTCCGGAATTTCGTCATAACTGTTGTCTAAATTGCCCGCTGAATCAACAGAGGTTGGTCTCATTTCTTGATAAAATCGAGGTTGACATTGTAATTCTCCCTCATATGCGTAGTTATCCTTTTTATCCGATGACCCTGGTCTCTTGTCAGAAATTTTGCATTTGTTTCTAAAATTATCAAAGTTTTATAATTTTTTTAAATATTAACAGCCCTATAAAAATTGAACGAAAAGAGACATCATACCCAACGAAAATTCCAATTAGAAATCCTAGAAAAAAGGCAACAGCTGTGATTCCGACACTAAGAGGAATTGTAATCATGCCATGATTTTCAAACTCTGAAATGAAAATATACATTAAAACAAATACATCTGGATAAAAGTTATATATTGATTGCTCTAATACAGAGCATTGCAACGTGTATTTAGGCCAAATGAGCAAAACAAAAAGAACACGATTTTTTTAAACTGATAGACCCTTTAATTATCGCCCGGTTGATAAATCAGGTCAAGAGAAAAAAACAACGATATATGAGTATAATCAACTTACCAGGGTTTCTGATGATGTCTTCAATCTTTGAAATATTGGTCAGATTGCAATTTTGTTCTCTGATTTCCTCGTAGCTCCTAGAAAATAATTGTAAAATTAATTCAATGGGTCAAGATGAATGGCACTATCTAAGAACGAGACATATTTTTCTTTATATTCCTTGAGATTCAATGAAATTCTTTTGATTACATTTCAATCCTGTGCATCTATTTACAAAAAGGGAAAACATATATGTAGCTGCTAAACAATAATTTTCCCCCTTCCTTTTGGTATCAAATTGGTCATTTCGCTGAAGGTACCATAGTTGGAAGGTTTGTTTATAATTAACCATTATAACAACTTTAAACATATCCCAAACAAAACCAATGCTGATTTTAATTATATTTCAAAAAGATTAATATAGAAATGGTTTTACATGTACATGTACGTTATGTCGCATTCAATGACTAGAGTAAAGTGACACTGGTAACAGATACGAGAAAACGTGTGACAATACGAAATTACGTAGTTATTTGAAGAGGTATAAAATTGATTGATTGTATGTAGTTAAACATCCCGTTCAAGATTTTTTCAATTATAAAGAGACCTCACTAAATATATGCCAACGCATGCCGTTATACGAAGCCTCAGTTTTTAAGGTCTCATCCAAAGACCTTCAAAGGAAAGGATTTTTCACTTCAAAATGCTTAGTGCTCGGCAAAAGAACATTTGCCTATTTTTTAAATTGACGTCGGTCAGCCGAACTCACGACCTTCACATACATGTAGTAACAAAATCAGAAGATCGACTTTGACTTAAAAAAAGATAAATTAATTCTATACGCCTTAAACATGTTAAACCTTTCCACCAGGCTTTTTGGTGTAATAAACAAGTGAAATGAAATTTTTACGATGGCCGATATGAGCCGTCAAAATACAAGTAAGAGTAGTTCTATTATGTACGCTGAATCAATAGCAAAACGCATGAAAAAGTAGTAATATAAATTTGTGCATGTACAAATCTTGATACAAAATACACTCGAAACTACTTAACATTCCTTAGATTTATTGGGAATATTATCTGTAAACTTAGAAGGGACAAAATCAAATACACGTGTTTCTGATTTTCCCTCTATATTTTCTCCTGTTCCCCTCATTTTTAGTTGTTTAATAAATTGTGTGCAGCTTACTTCAATTGATCACAAAATGCAGCAAGATTTTTTTTTCTATTCGCCTTTGATCCCTCTGTGATTTTTAATTGTTGTTGTCTTTTTTTTATTTTAACTTTCACGACAACAAAATTATCATTCGTATGCCCCCAAAATACCGGTAAAAGATTCCAGAAACAATGGAGCTGCATCTTTATTATTTCTTTTCCCGCCAGATGAAAATCTGTTGCTTGATGATATGTGCAAGAAATGGGTCTATTTTTCATTCTATGCTTTGCCGTTTCCTTAATAATTCTTTATTCAATATTTTTTTCCGTGCATCGGGAACGAGGAAAATGTAAAAAACACTATGTGCCCGGCGGCAACAAAGTTCCAGAAAACTATTTTAAGCATAAAGGTCACAGTTAAGGTCACAAAGTCATTGATCTTAATGTCATTAAAGGAACTTTATTAGTGGAGTATGCATACGAAAAATGAAATCTGTATCACCTATGGTTCAAAAGTTATGGCGACAGTTCGAAAAAGCTGTTTTTAGCATATAGGTCACAGTCAAGGTCACAAGGTGACCTTGGTGTCATTTGTATGAGCTTAATTAGTGAGGCATGCATACCAAATATGAAGTCTCTATCTCTTATGGTTCAAAAGTTATGGTGAAGGTACAAAGTTATTTTTATCATATAGGTCATAGTCAAGATCACAAGGTCATGACCTTGGTGTCATTTGAAAGAACTTTATAAGTGAAGTAGGCATAATAAATATGAAGTCTCTTATCTCTCAAGGTTCAAAAGTTATGGCGAAGGTTAAAGTTGACATCAGACAGACAGACAAACAGATAAACAGGCAAATAGATAAACAGATAAACAGACAAACAGATGAACAGACAAAGAGACAAACAAACTAGAAACTCTTGTTGCTACAGCAACAAAGAAGGTCTTCCGTTCTCCTCTATTTATCTGCATGAATGAGCTTTTATTTATGTTAAAAAAGGCATATTAATATTTAAAATGATAACAGGAAAACAAACAACCGGAGATACCTACTAAGATTCTCGACGTTACTTTAGACAATATAGTATCAATAACATTTTCAAAAATCACTTTCAATTTTTTTTATCACTTCCTATGACAACCAGAAGTGACGTATTTCACCTTATACCTGTTGCCCAATCTTTATGGTTTATCATTCTTGTAAGAGTAGTGTCTTGATCTGTTACAGTTTAAGAGATCTCGTGATGCTAACTTCTATATTTTGAGGACAATAAATCACGTGACCGGACGTAAATCTTTAAAAAAAAATTTTGAGGTAACTCTAGACATTTAAGTCTGAATAAAATGTCCTTAAATCATTTTAAATACTCTTTTTATAAAAGATATTTATGGGATAGTATGATAATAAATAAATGTAGTTTTTCTCTCATAATCGGAAGTTGTTGTTTTTGTTTTGTAGTGGGACTGACATTTTTCAAAACTACAAATAAGA